TTAAAAAAAAAAACTCTCTAATACGTCGACTTAGAATATAAGACTCTAAATCCAAAATTGAAGCGGAATTGAAATGTTAATTATATTTTACTCAATAACGCTGAAAAGGTTTCTCTGGACGCGAAAGTGTGAGGTGTTTCCTGTGCGTGGTGGATGATGGAAGATTTTCGTCATCTACTTAGTTAATTGCCTTTTACTAGATATGGTAAAGTTGACTATAAAAACGATGAAGAACAGACGCCGACCGCTATCAATCTCCTCGTTCGTCTGAAAACGTAAAATCCTCGTCTTACAAATGTCCAGAGCACACTTTGGTACTAGATGTCACTCTTAACTCTTGATCTTAATTTAGAGAAATTGAGAAAATAGCGTGGATGCTTAACTTTTGAAGCTTAGAATCGTTAGGGCATTTGTGAAAAGACAAATTCGAATTCGGGGAAAGTTACAGACGCAATAAGAGTGAAATACTCTATACACTTCGCGATTAGTTTGCTATATCCATAACTGTTGTTTGCCCATTTCAGGCTACGTGACCAGAAAATGACGTGTGAAGCTAAATAGGTCTAGTACAGGCGTAACCGCCGCTGTTTTCGCGCTTAAACTCAAAGAGAAGATTTTTTCTAGGAAAATCCAAGTGGACCGCCTGTTCGTCAGATGAGGTGTGATTAGAAAGCAAGGTGAACACCGCTTTAAAATGAAATCATTATCTGTCAAATTCTCTTAAAGCATAACAAAATGCAGACCATCGCAGACTTGACGTCAGCATTTCACATCATTTGGGTTGACAGGATTAGAAGCATTCATCTCTTTATCAACTCTGAAATTAATCAAAATGTACTAAGTGATAACTTAACTGAACTGAACTCTCTAATTAAAGGCAACTCGGGCATGAATGCAGCGATACAAAGTGTTCTTCGAAGTATTAACTGATGAAAACAACACGTTTTTGGCTCTCTTCACTTGCATGTCAATGTATTACTATGGTTTCGTCAAAACAAAGAAGAAAAACACGGAAATGAAATGTTTCCAAATTACTTGGATGACAGGTTTTGTTGTGGACGTCGTTAAAATTTGTGTCCTTCGCTCGCCTTGCTTCGTTTCGTTTTAAACATGTTTCCTGACCATATTACTGCGCTCCTATTTGTGGGTTTATCCTTCGCACAAGGTATGTAAAATTGAACACATTTCTCCTCACAAGATCTGGGTGAAAATGGGATGATGTTGAAAGACCGCTCGAGGTAGGAAGTAGCATATATGACACTCGACTCGACTCGACNACGGCAACTTATCATTCTAAATAGCGGATCTTTTCAAACTCCGGTTTTCCTCAGTTTGTTTGGTTACCAAATGTCCTCGAGGAAAACTGATCGGTTTTATTATTTAAGAAAACGTTTCTTTAGCCCTAAGTATAAAATTAAGCTAGTTCTCTTCGGCATTAATGATTTATTAGAAAAGAGTTGCTGTGGACTTATTTCGTGTTGAACCGACGCGAGTCTGCTGGGCACAAGGCGTCTTTTAGAGAA